TTAATTTTAATGAACATTTACAGAGATATTGGATTTCCATTCATTCATTGTTGCACTCATTGTTGCACTCTTATTGGCCCATGACTCTATGAGATGTAGATGAAAATTGGTTAAAGATGATAAACAACTGACTCAGTGTTACTGTTTTGCTCAGCCTCTTGAGCACTGTCTAGATGAGCCACCTTAGCTTCTGCGTCAAGGCCAACTTTGGAGAGTGAGAATATATATAAAAGAGGCCAGATGAAATTCTTTGTTATAAAAACAAAAAGACTTCTGGCCTAACAAAATAATGTTTTGCCATTTAACATAAAATTTTCCTCATCAAGAGTAAAGAGTTTGTTGCAGTCTTCCAGAATCAATTTTCCTGGATTTTACTGCTAGTATTGTATCAGCTACTGATATTAATACCCATAAAGCCCTATTTGCAAACTTCACCAAATACTGGTGCATTGGCCCAGGAGTTTCTTGTCTTGGTAAATTAAAGGAGGTTGATACATAGATTTTCTCTTTTTAATTACAAATACATGAAATGACTTTTATATAATCAGAGTATGTAGTTGTCAAGACTACTTAGACTTAACAAGAAAAAATAATTTCCCCATCATTTCAAGAGAGAGAATAGGAGATGAAAAGAGCAAAATGACCTTTCCCTAGAACATGCATTTAATACATAGATGACTCATAGATAGGGTGAGATGGATTGAATTATCCCAAAATCATTTCTAAGAAAGTTAGAGCAGGAGGTGGACTATCTTTTTAATACCTATGACTTAAAGAGATTATAAGGACTAAGTCTCCTTGGTCTAATACATGACCTAGCTTAGCAATTAATTCTTCCTTTCCCCCCCACAGTGCACATTCTGCCATGGTTTGCTAGTGCTTTTCAGAGCAGTTGAGCTTGGGTGTTCTCTTTAAGTCATAATATAATTTCCCACAGAATAGAAATGCTGCTGTATCAGATATCTGGTTGACCTTCTTTTCAGTACTTTCAAAGGAGACAAAGGGATAGATGTATTGGAAAAAGACCCAGTGGCTTCTTAGAAGATCATCAAATGGTTACTAACAGATTTCTAAAGATGTGAGCCAAGGGAGATTTTCTTCAAAAGTAGGGGAAGGGGACAGGGGTATTGAGGGTGGGGAATGGGGGAAATCGTGGGGTTGCTGTTTGGTGGGTAGAGGGAGGAGGTAAAGGAATTAAGATAGATCCAGTGGTATATCTGAAATGACAGGGTGATAGTGAGCATAGATCAATGGTGATTAACAAAGAATATGTGAAACAGAATGTATATGAATGACACAGTATATACGTATTTTGTATGCAAACAACATAAAACAAAGTAATATAAAAATAAAGAATGATAGAGAAAAAAAAGAATACATATGTTAATGATAGTCAATAGACAAGATGTTGACAACATGTTGATTCCTAATTCATTTCAAGATAAGTTGTCACTGTGGCATGATTTGTGAAATCTCCCTCTTAAGTCAAAACACACTGTGATTGACTTCTTTCTTACTCATGATGATCCTGCACGAGGGTCTGAGGCTGTAAATCTTGATGAGACCAGACTGCCTATCTTTCTCTCACTGCTGACCTTTTGGTGATTTGTAGTCCACCGTGTACTGCACTGGTGTCCTGGCTGCATACTGTGTAACACTGATAAACTAAATTGATTCTAATCCACTAGCTGCTGGACAACTTACTCCTATAGAGAACTAAAGCCTTGGAAACCCAATGAAGAGTAACCATGAGTTAGAATTTAGTCAGTGGCAGTATGTCTGGCTTGGTTTTTGGAATCAGTAACAAAAGGAACCCTGATAGTGTGCTGATTAAGTACTCTGCAGCTAATTGAAAAGTTGGCAGTTCAAACCCACCCACAGCTCCAAGGAGGAAAGATTTAAATATCAGTTCCAGTAAAGATTACAAACCCCAAAGCACCCTCATGGGGAAATTCTATTCTGTCAAAAGAAGTTGACGTAAATGTAAATGAACTCTACAGCACCTAAGAACAACAACAGAACTAAAGACAAACCTTTGAAAGTTAACTAATGGTTAGCACCATTAACTCTCAGAATCTAAGTGGTAAAAGTGATCCAAAAATATATTAGTGGTGTGCCAAAATGTCCCATAAAAATGTAAAGGAAAAGTGAAACTTTGAGCTTTGTAATTCATTTTGCTCAGCAAAAAGTGGTTGAAGGATGATATTGCTCTTCTCAACAGCATTTTGATCATGTGAATGGAGAATATACCAAGGATTTTGCTGTAAAAATCAACTAGTTTCCCTCCACTATTATCCTCTTCCCCCACACATCAGTCTCATCCAGTTATTTTTAATTGTTCTCCAGGAGGCCTGGGAATGTCACAGTCTCCTTGAAGTTTCAGAAGCTGTTTTAGTTGGCTCTGAACCAAAAGTAGAAATCCCCCACCAGACAAGCCAGGCCCTAGTGATCCCTCATTCTGAGTACCATCCTCTTCTAAAAAAAAGTGACACTGCTAATGCCTTTGCAACTGATACACTCCAGTTTTTTCTCATCTGTTGCTTCCGCAGTTTGTTAAATGAGTTCCAATATAGCAATGATTACTTAGAGTTGCTAAGAGTCAAAATCAGCTACACAGCACCTGTCAACAATAGCATTAAAAATCATCACATCCTTTTTTTTTATCAAAAGTAAAATTCTTTTCTTGCCTTGCATGTAATTTCCATTGACATTTTTGCTATTAGCACACCCATTAAGCAGTATCCTCTGGCGACATAATGTGTTGGGGAATTGTGTTGCTAATCCAATGCTGTGCCTGTCTGGCAGTTCAAATCTATTATTGGATCTGAGGGAGAAAGATAGGTAGTCTCCTCCCATGTGATTTACATTTTGAAAAAAAAAATCCTAGAAGGTCACTTATAAGTGTGTTCTGACTCAACAGAAATGAGATGACGAGATGACAATATTACTGATAATTTGAATATAACAAGTGGGAGTTATTCTTTTCTGAGTCAAGACTACATCTGCAAAGTCAATCCTAGTTTCTTTTGTGTATTTGATAAAATACTACGTATTTCCTTGCTAATGCACTTAGTTAACTCTTTGTCAGGTGGGAAAGCTGTTTGTATTTGTGGCATATCACTGGAGGTATATATATTTTGTTCCACAGTTCTGGCTGTTCTAAATATTTCTTTGTCTCAGAAGGATAAAGGCTTGTAAGGGTTCTCTTCAAAAAGAAAATTTATTTCTCCTCTCCCCTGTGCTGTGGCTTGGTTTGCCTGCTGCTGTAATTTCTCTTTCTTCTCATAAGAACCCATTTTGAGTGAGCTCACCTGCTTAATCGCAATGAAAAGTGGGCAATAAAATGTGGTGATGTGACACTAAATAAAGATCAAGAAGGGCACTTGTCTACATTATAGGAATTAAAACAAAAGCACAAAGCATCACCTTGTTCAACCAAACTTTTAAGGTATATTTCATAAGGTTTGATAAGACATAGAGTTCTGGTAGACAAGTGGGAAAGGGGTTGTGTGCCAATCCAAATGCAAGAGGTTTGAATCCACCTACTGTTATGAAGGAGAAAGATGGGCAATCTCCTTCTATGCACTTTACAGCCTCTGAAAATCGGCTGGTGGAGTCAGTTATGAATTGGTTCTGATTCAGTGAAACATAGCAACAAAAACATGGTAAGGTAGATGAGACTCTTTTCTACCTTAGGAATTGTGTCCTTTTTCACATTTTTTATGGTTTGCATGTTGTGTTTCATGAATGTGTATTGTTTTGTATACAGTCTGTTATTTATATTGTTTCCTTGATTGCATTGTGTTTTATACAATCATTCATATAT